AGGTAGGTAGGTAGGTAGGTAGGTAGGTAGGTAGATAGATAGATAGATAGATAGATAGATAGATAGATAGATAGATAGATAGATAGATAGATAGATAGATAGATAGATAGATAGATAGATAGATAGATAGATAGATAGATAGATAGATAGATAGATAGATAGATAGATAGATAGATAGATAGATAGATAGATAGATAGAGTAGGCAGGCAGGCAGACAGATAGACACAATCCTGACAAAGTCTTGCGGGGGATATAAACTTTCTTATTTTGCCCTACCCTGACTTGTTTCATTTCATTCATTCATTTGAGTTTCATTGCAAAAACCGTAATTTTTAAAAGAAAGAGAATCTTAAAACCGTTTTACCTCTGCAGGACCATTTGGCTCTCGAAATGTGGGAGGCCGATACAGCACGGTAGTGGCATACTAGAAGACAGATAGATAGACAGATAAATAGATAGATAGATACAAGTGTTGTTATTGATCTGTTTTTAATTGACGACCAGCACAGTGTGGAACACTGAGTATTGAATTTCTGCATTTCAAACACAGCCAGGAGTGATGCACTATCTATCTCTGGGAAGGTTGTTTGTTTGTTTTTACTTTTTTTATATACCTTCGTGTTGCTTTTTTGACTCCTGGCAACGACTCGGTCAAATCCGTGCAATTTTCTTGGCTAGGTGTTGTGGAAGTGACTTTCTTCTGCCCAGGGCTGGGACAGAGACAAAGACTTGCTCAAGCTTACACAGTTGGCATTGTGCCTAACAGCAGACTAAAACTCATCGTTTCTCAGTTTCTACCTCACTGCCTTTAAGCTCCGCACCAAACTGGCTATCTCTGTGTATCCTACGCATAAAAACGCTACCTTCACACAGTGATAAGCAAACATGATGTGCTCCTGCTGACAAGGGCTGGGCTACTCAATGATCTGATGGAGAAAAGACTGCAAGCACAGGATTTTACCTTTCCTCGGAGAGTTTGCTGAAGGATTGCGTGGAGAGAGAGAAAGAGAGACGCTAATGCGATGCATTCTTTAATATCCTTTGGAGCAGAGCTAAGGTGATCCATCTCTCCCATTTCATATGTGATGTTTGCATTGGAACTAGGGACGGTGTTTCCCTTGAAGACAGATCTCTGGTCCTAACTTGTCCTCATCCCAGAATTTAGATATTTAGATGCTAATCTTTCCTCTTGTGGGGAACCCCACACTTCTCCAGCTTATACAGCGTGAAGGATGGGTCAGCTCTTTAAAGCAGCTATATCTTTGTTCAGATTCCTGAAGAAACATGAACAAAGACGTATCTTTGAGTTGAGTTCCATCCTTTGGAACCTCAGAGACCCATCCTTGCAGAATTTGAGGCCAATGCCTTGGGAATTCAAGTGTTCTTCCATTCAAATATCCAGAAACTAACTTAGTTTCCAATTTCAGATGCTGGAATTCTAAGAACAGATTCTATAATTGCACTTTCCAGTAAGAAGGAAGAAGATGTAATTAAGCAACATGGATGTGAGGTTTTCAGGAGCAATTCAAGGATGGAAAAAGCCCTTTTAGGAACTTTTTCCTATCTGGTAAGGACCTCTTTCCTACCTTGCTGGGAAAAAATAGGTGTAGTGACATGGCTGAGAGATTCCATAGTCCCTCAAATGCCTGGCGGGAAATTTAAAAATGCATGGCCTTAGTTGAGTCTGGTGCCAATGAAAATACTATTGAGAAAATATCTTGAGATGTTCAAGAACCTAGAAGGATGAAAGCAGAATGTGTCCATCTTCTCATCTCCATCTAAAGAAGTTCTGAAAACCAGAAGTTTGCCATGGATATGAACTTCTCTGACCTCTTGGTTTACAGTTTTAGAGTATCTGATGGTGTCTCCTTTGCATCTAATAAATGTAATAAATGTAGATCATCACTGATTTACCAAGATACCTTGACGGATGGACTGGGTATTAAAACAGAGGAGACTATGAAAACCAAAATTTAAACCCTCCTGCAAAGATGATTCTTATGGAGAGAAAGAAGCTTCTCCCTTCTCCAGCTCCTCATTCCAAAATTTCATATAAATCCTTCTAGAAAAGACTCCCAAAATGTCCAACATCGCAGGCCAGCTATGTTGTCCTTTTCATCCTTCCTTTGGTTGCACCTGAATACACTGAGCAAGCATTTAGGTACTGCGTTACATTTTATCTCCTGTTTTTGATGATCCCGGCTGCCATCACCATTCCTAGGAAGATTCTCGTCAACTGGCTAAGAGGACCTTTGAGGCATGCCTCTATATTCACTTTAAAAACAATCAATGTGTGTAACTGAAACAAAGACACATTTTTCCACCAGTGATCCCACTCTCACCTTCTCTGCATTGATTTATGGATTAAAAGCTCTTGCGGGGAGGCTGTCTCTAGGATTCTGCACAAGGCACACTGGTGGGTTTATAAAAAAAAAGAAGAAGCATTTGGATTGTATTATTCTCTATTCTGCAGTCTATGGTTGCAGAATGATAAGCCAGTAAATCAGAGCGCCTGCTCTTTTGTAAAATTAAGAGCCCACTATGATCTTCCTCGGCTTAAACTGGGTGTCATTCTAAGACTATAACTCACCCGCACCGGGCTACAAAAATAGGTGAATTGCAAACTTTCCTTACCACTTCCTTGGGCACAGCTGGAGTTGTATTAGCTGCAATCGCATTCAGCACCAGCAGCAGGAGTCCAGCAGCTGCAAGAAAATTCATCTTGTCGGTTCTTGACAGATGTGAGGAAGGCCGAAAGGAGAAAGCCTGTTTATAGGGCTGGCAGGGTATTTCCCCGCCAGAAGCTGGAAATGAGAAGGAGGAAGTTGCGCAACTGCTAATCAGAGCGGTGCCAATACAGGTGGGTGACAACACTGCCCACTGAGTCACGTCCCACCACAAACTGTACAAAAACCTTTGAGTTCTTTGTTCCATGTTCCTTACTAATCAAAGCCAGTCATGGTGGTCAGAATTTCAGCAAAGTGCTTCTAAAAGATAACTAAATGCAGGAAATAGAAGTTCCATCATTTTATGCAATGTAGAAATATGTGTGTGTGTGTGTGAGAGAGAGAGAGAGAGAGAGAGAGAGAGAGAGAGAGAGAGAGAGAGAGACAGAGACAGAGACACAGAGACACAGAGACACACAGAGAGAGAGAGAGAGAGAGAGAGAAAGAGAGAGATGATAGAAGATAGAAGATAGAAAAGATAGAAAGAAGATAGATGATAGAGAGAGAGGGAGAGAGGAGCGATGGATGAGAGATGGAGAGAGATGATAGAAGATAGAACAGAAAGAGAAGATAGATGAGATAGAGAGAGAGGATAAAAAGAAGATAGAAGATATTTGATAGAACAGAAAGAGAAGATATATGATAGAGGTAGATAGATAGGTAGGTAGGTAGGTAGGTAGGTAGGTAGGTAGGTAGGTAGGTAGATAGATAGATAGATAGATAGATAGATAGATAGATAGATAGATAGATAGATAGATAGATAGATAGATAGATAGATGAAGAGAGAGAGATGATAAAAGAAGATAGAAGATAGTTGATAGAACAGAAAGAGAAAATAGATGATAGAGAGAGAGAGATGATAAAAGACAGAAGATAGTTGATAGAACAGAAAGAGAAGATAGATGAGAGAGAGAGAGAGAGAGAGATGATAAAAGAAGATAGAAGATAGAAGATGGAAGATAGTTGATAGAACAGAAAGAGAAGATAGATGATAGATATAGATAGATAGATAGATAGATAGATAGATAGATAGATAGATAGATAGACAGATAGATAGATAGATGAGAGAGAGAGAGAAAATATAGATGACAGAAGAGACAGAGAGAGATGGATGATAGATGATAGATAAATAGATAGACAGATATAGATATAGACATAGGCCTAGATATGGATAGAAGAAAGAAAGAGATGGTTAAGAGAGAGAGATGAGAGAGAGAGATACAGATACAACAGACATGATATAGTTTACCATTTAGGGTCTTCGTGCTTGGGCAGGGGGGTGGTCCAACTCTGTCGTTCTGTTCTGTTCTGTCATTATTTATTTAGATTGGGCGTTCATTCTGTAAATAAATTAAAAAGATCCTTCCCAGATTGCAATGCTGCATTTTAATATTATTATTCTCGCCCATCTCCAGAATTATAGCTAGGCCTTTGCCGATATTTCATATTTTTATGGATTGTTCTATTTCAGAAGTTATGTCCATAATGTGCAAAAAATCATTATGGCAGGAAGTATGGGTTTTTCTCTCCATATTTCCTGTGGAAGCATTATTTACGGTGCATCCAAACCAGATTAAATTGGTGCACATGTCTCAGAGTCAAGAGAGAAAAAAAGCATTTTTTTAAAAAAAAGAGTAGTACAGGGTCATCTTTTTTTAATTAAAAAGTACAATACATCAGTCAAATTTTACGTAAAAGGGCATTTGCTGCAGCTTACTCTTGTGTGAAAAATCAGATTGTGGCAATAGTAATAATACGTTTGCTAATCAAATTCTAAACCGAAAGGTGAGGTTCCGGTGTGAATTAACTAATTATGATCGCGATGGTGAAACATGGGCATCTTTATTAAAGTTAAGCTTTAGGAACAATGAAAAAAGTTCTCATGGGGCCCCATTAATCAGCAGACAAATGAAAGGTTGCCATTCGGACTGCGCCAAGTCAAGGAAGAATATGTAATCAGAGGGATGATCAAGAATTGTTGGTCCTTCGCCCGTCCAAATTTACATCACCATTTGAGAAATGCATATTTTTGAATCGTAGTTTAGGATGCACCGATCAGCATGCTAAAGGCCATTACGTGAATAACAGAATAATAAGAGTTGAAAGGGACCTTGGAGGTCTTCTACTCCAACCCCCTGCTCAAGGAAGAGACCCTGTACCATTTCTGACAAATGGTTGTCCAATCTCTTCTTAAAAACTTCCAATGTTGGAGCATTCCCAACTTCTGGAGGCAGGTTGTTCCACTGGTTAATTGTTCTGACTGTCAGGAAGTTTCTCCTTAGTTCTAGGTTGCTTCTCTCCTTGGTTAGTTTCCATCCATTGCTTCTTGTCCTGCCTTCGGGTGCTTTGGAGCAGGGCTTTTCAACCAGTGGTACGGGTACCACCTGTGATACATTGGCACCTGGAAGGTGGTACGCGGCCATCCTAGAAAAGTGGTAGCAGGGGAGGGGAATGAGCTGAACCAGTGGCAGCACCGCACAAGCCTGAGTGAGAGATGGCTGGAGCTGCAGGGCTGTCAGGGCTCAGCGGAAGCGCTAGGATCAGTGCCGCTTTCCAGCTGATTGGCGCTTCTTTGGGACTTCTTCTAGCTCCATCTGGAGCTCGGCACTGATCCTGGTGCTTCTGCTGAGCCCAAAAGAAGCGCCGATCAGCTGGAATGTTGCAGCATCTCCAGGGTCTTGTGATTTACATTCAGATGCGTGGCAACTGATTCATATTTATGACGGTCACAGTGTTCCAGGGTCAGGTGAAGTGACCAAAATTGCTGCAACCACCTATCAGACAGGGGGAATAAAAATCACAAACACCCCACCCCACCCTCGCTGCCAATCCTCAACAGAAATGCTCACATCAATGAAAACCTCGGACAGGAGTAAGAGCGCCGCCAGGTGGGCAGGCAGGTGTCTCGCTCGGCTGTGGCTTGGGGGGCACTTTTTTCAGTGCCATTGTAAGTTCGAACAGTCACTAAGCAAACTGTTGTAAGTCGAGGACTACCTGTACTTCATCACTTTTTTCCTTTTGGGGGGGGTCATCAAGTTTTTGACACCTTGCTAGTGGTACTTGATTGGTGGTACTCGGATATTGCCGTATCCTAAAAGTGGTACAATGGGTGAAAAGGCTGAAAAGCCCTGCTTTGGAGAATAGCTTGACTCCCTCTTCTTTGGGGCAGCCCCTCAGATATTGGAACACTGCTATCATGTCCCCCCTCGTCCTTCTCTTCATTAAACTAGACATACTCAATTCCAGCAACTGTTCCTTATATGTTTTAGTCTCCAGTCCCCTAATTATCTTTGTTGCTCTTCTCTAGCACTCAAGCTGCACCACAATAAGCGACAAAATGGCGTTGCAAAGCCAATGAAAGAACTGCACAATCTCAGACCCCATTCTGTAAGGAATGGACTGCAAATGTAGGGCTTACCAAGAATACTTCCCCTTTCAGCTCATAAGGAAATTTACACAATTTTAGACAAGGGGGATTTACCTCAAGTATCTTGTATGTTCTTGGGACATTCTTGGGGGAGAGAAGGAAGCCACCATGTGCACACACACCAACAAAAACCACAAAACCCACCCCACCCAGCTCAGGATTTCCACACCCAGCATTCTTATCTATATTCTGCTGATTTTCAGTGTCCTTTCACAACCTTGCCTTTTGTGGTGTCGCATCTATGGCTGGCAGACATTATTCCATTCCTTGAGACCTTGAAAAAGTCTCCTAAAATATTGAGTTTTTGGTTTTGTGAACTTCCCACCATGTTGGCTAGTGTGCAATGTGGTCCTTGAGCTAATGGAACCATTGTATGAACTTGAACCTTAGGTCTACATGCATGTGGCTTCTGTTGAAACCACAGTCTATCTATCAGTTTCTTTATGGCAACTCAGTTGTAATAGACTTAATTCCTGAAAGTACACCTTCAAGAATAATCTAGGGAAAACGCCTTGAGACAAACCAGTAATCTGCATTTGAATTAAACCAGTAACACAAATGGTTTTGTTGTCCAGTCACTATGTTGTAATGTACAGCGAGCACAATGAAGAAGAATTTTTGTAGCTCAGGGTTGAAATGTGGGGTCCTTGGCGCTCTCTGAGCTTGCTTTGTTTTCTTGCAGACGTTTCATGACCCTAACTAGATAACGGCATCAGTGCTACTAAGGAGTGAGGACAATTATCCAGTGGAACAGCTTGCCTCCAGAAGCTGTGGGTGCTTCATCACTGGAGGTTTTCAAGAAGAGACTGGACAGCCACTTGTCTGAAGTGGTCTAAGGTCACTTGCTTGAACAGGGGGTTGGATTAGAAAACCTCCAAGGTCCCTTCCAGCTCTATTCTGCTTGGTTGTATCCAACTGCTCATGACCTCATGGACATAGTATGCCAGGCCCCCATCGTCCACTCTCTCCCAGAGTTTGCCCAAATTCATTGCCTTGATGACACTACTAACCATCATCTCCTCTGCCATCCCTTTCTCCTTTTGCCTTCCATCTCACCCAACATCTTTTTCAAGGACTCCTCCTTTGGTGGCCAAAATATTTGAGCTTCAGCTTCAGTCTCTGTCCTTCCAAAGAACAGTCGGGGTTGACTGTTTCTTTAGGATTGACATATTGGATCTCCTTGCAATCCAAGGGTATAAGGATCCACACAAGATACAAGAAGCTACGTCATTAGATTATTTCCATTGGTTGACTTGCATTTCCGTGTTGCTTGCAGAATTTCCAGGTAAGGTTTGGTTGGAGTCCAACTTCTAGACAAGAATGTACCATTTCTTAAATCACTTTTCAGTTATTCTTCCCAACTCATCAGTAGAAGAGGAACTCTCAGCCTGTCTACATCTGCTAAAGCTGAGATGGAGACATCTAAGGCAGGGGTCCCTAAACCCCCCAAACCATGGCACAGGAACCTGGCCAACAAAGTGGCAGGAGAGCACTCAACTTGCACAAGCAGCAGGCGAGCACGCTCGAGTGCACAACTCCATTTGTGCGAACAATAGGAGTTGTCACGTTTGTTACAGTCTGGATAGGAAGACCTTAACTCTACCCTACGCGA